TTCTGCCTTCTTCACATCCTTGAGAATTTGTCCTCGTCCGTCATGAGTCTAATTAGTTTGTTCGAGCAATGTTCAGTGAGGGATAAAGGAGTGTCTGGTAACTTGAGCTCTCCCTTATATTTGGTGAGTAGTTTCTTATGGATGTCCGATATTATATCATTGTTAAAATTCAGCAGAATTCCTTTATTTTCCGCCCTGAGGAAAATTTTTAGCGAGTTCACGGACGTGAGAATTTCTTCTAATCGCTTTTGGTTTTCTGAATCTAGGGACTGATCAACTGATAAAAGTGACTGCGCAAGAAAAATTAAGAAAATTTTATCTGACAGTTAAAATTAATTAAAATCGAACTTTGAAAGATTTAATGGGATACAACCGCTTGTACAGGACTCTGATCGCGTGTGATTAGAATTACAATTTCAAATTGTAGCGTTGACGTAATTCAGAATATTCGAGAAGAACGACCGTTGGATGCATAGCGTTAGTTCTTTCTTTCCGCCCATTGGATTATTACAATCCAAGTTACTAATAGTATTTACATCCACTGGATTTTACAATTCGTTCTTTGTACAATTACTTTTTTTACAATCAATATTTACAGAGAGGTGTTCTGCGATCTTTTTAACTATTGCGACTCCAAATTCGCTACCATAATGTGAGATTGGGAGGGTTTTTCCTGAAGGTAATCTCGACAGTAGATCTGTAAATTCCATTTCTTTTCCTGGTATGTGTTTGATCTTGAAGTTAAATGGTAAAAGTCGATTTACCCAACGGGTTAGTCTGCTGTGCATTGTTTTGTTATTATGATTTGCATTTAAGGCTGATAACAATGCCTTGTGATCCGTTACATTTTCAAACTCAGCGCCATAGAAGTAATTTTTAAAATGCTCTGTAGCCCAGACTACTCCCAACAATTCTAATTCGTTTGTAGAATATTTCGTTTCGTGGCTATTTAAAAATCGGGAAGCGAATATTATTGTTATCCAATTTTCCCCGTCCCATTGTTCTAAAGTTGCTCCCAGGCCGCTATGTGAAGCGTCTGTTTTTAATCTTGACATCCTTTTTATGTCAAAGTGATTATTCTCTGTAATGTTGACGATCTGTTTTTTTAATTCTTCGAACGCCTTCGTATGATCGTCGTTTCATTGGTAAATTGATTTTTTTTACTTAAAGTGGTCTTAAGGGAGAACTTAGAATTGACAAGTTTGGGACGAACTTCATTTATTGGTTGATTGAGCCGAAAAACGACCTTAATTCGGATATGTTTTTGGGGTTTGGGAGACTTTTTATAGAATTTGATTTTCCCACGAATGGTTTCACGCCCGAGTTTGATATCTTGAAACCCAGCCACACTGTTTCGTTTGGAAAAATGCACATTTCTCCCATTTTACCGCCATGTTCTTGTTGTCTAAGATGTTTAAATTTTTTGTTAATATCGCTTTGTGTTCATTTAATGATCCTTTAGAAGCTAATAAAATGTCGTCGATATAAAAATTGGTAAAAGGAATGTCTTTCAATAAAGAATCCATCACCCTCTGGAAATTGTTTGGCATATCGCCTAAACCGTAATATCCCGTTAAAAATCTTTGGTCCCGGTGGTTTCACCACCTACAATACTAAAATTGCATTGTTTGCTAGTGTTTGTACATAATTGTAGTTGATTGTACGCATTTTGTAGATCTAAATTACTGAGCCAAACTTACCCTGAATCTTTGCTGGAAAGTTGGAGAGCTATGTTGTCGATAAGCTCGTGTATGTTTGGCATTTGGTGTTTGTTCTTGAATATCTGCTTATTTAAGAGTTTCGAATCTAATGCCAACTTGATACTACCGTCTTTTTTCCTTTTTATCACTATTGGACTAATAAAACAGTCTTCATCGCATTTGCTTAATTTCACACTTTGCCCCTCTTTTTTCATTCTGTTTAATTCCACCTTTACACTATCTAGTAGATGCAGAGGAACTATTCTGCATTTGGTTTGAATAGGTTTGAATGGAGAGTGGAAATGAGTGAATTTTCTGTCCATTGGTATTTTCCCTACACTGTTAAATAATCCTTTGTACTTATGATACAGATTAAGAATTGTGTCTGAATGATTATTTAACTTACACAAATCCGGGAGTGTTACGTTGTTGACGGGTAGTAAAGGCTGTCGTTGGGCTATTTTGATTCCGATTCGTGGTAAGTTATCGTTTCCCAAGATATTCCTCTCAAGTCCAGAAGTGATAAAAATGGGAGTTTCGTCCGCGATCTATCCATTGGATTGTATTCTGACAACAACTTTCCCGATGATGTTAATTGTATCATTGGTAGACCCGCAGTACAATTTCCGAGTTTTCTTGTCTACTGGGTGTATTTTCAATTGTGGGTTTCTCAACTTCGTTTCGTGCAGGAGGTTTTGCTTTAGGAAGCTCACTGGGCTCGCAGAATCCACTGGAATGTTCAGATTAACTATCGCATCGTCTCCCAGTCCGATGATAACTAATTTCTTGGTTTCCATACCGTTGGTGTCATAAATGGTTCTGATGTTAAGAACGGAAAAGTCGTCATTTTCGCTGATCCCCTCTTCAGTCCACGCGTTAATCACGCTACAAAAATTTTCTTCACTTCTTGCTTGAAGGTCTTCTGGGGAATATGAACAATTCTGACTATTTACAGACTCTACTACAGTATTTACAGCGGGTTTTCTTCCTTTCGATTTACACAGTCTTCCGAAGTGTCCTTTATATTTACAAAAATTACAGATGATTTCCTTCGCCGGACACACATTCAGATGACCCTTGGTAAACGCATTCCCGCATTTCATACAAGTATTAGATCTTTTTATTTTCAAGCTTGGTTCCTTTTTTACATTTTTTACATTTAAAATTTTTGTACACTCTGCCTCTAATTATTTTGTACACTAAATAATCAAATTACTAGGTTAAAAAATTCTTAATAAAAAGAAATTTTTGTCAAAAAACGGGCCATAAAATTGCGAGTTTCAAGATAAAGTTGCGACACTGGATATAAACCGCGGACTTGGAAGCTAAATTGGTGTAAATCGAAAGTCTGGAAAGCGATACTTGCAGATAATTTTTTGGTTTTTAAGGACCTAATTTCTCATTTTTCAAATTGTAAGCTTTATTTTTAAAAATAAAACAAAAAAATAATATTAAAATTTAAAAATAATGATAACTATGAAAAACAAATTAATTGCATAAGCTACAAGTAGTAGCACGGAAAGTATGCAAGTTGTCGCAAAGGTCGCAAACGCTTTCGCCATGGTCACGTTGGTCATAGACATTTTTTCGAACGTTTTTGATTCTTTATTTCTGCGTTAGTAGTTGTTCTCAACTTAGCCGGAAACGCAACAAAATGATCTTATCAGTTTTTTGGAAATTGGTAGCCAAAGCAAAGTAGTAATTTTTCATCAAATGATTTATTCAAAATCCAAAGTGTTAATCGGGTATATTCTTCAATTTCGCTGGTCGCTGTCACAATTTCTTAGCGGTCGCGCCCGACGCAAACGCATCTACTTCATCTGCAAAGTCTGAAAAACTAACCTACAGCCGCGGTGATTTTGATATGTTTCGGTCGCGGTTGTCCGCAAACATCATAAGTTGGTTCCAACTACCTGGACATAAAATGACAACTTCGACCCTGGTATAAATTTAATGAATGATAATTTAAAAATTGTATATAAATCAGCCGAAAGTACGTGATTGTTACGTAACAATTGCCAAAATCATGCAAATTTCCTTGATAAAAACTAACTTTTTGGCTGGATAGTATACTCTGCGCTTTTTCGGTTGGCTTTTTACATCGGCTGATTCATTTACAATCGGCTTAAATCTAAGCGTTTTAAATTCCAGAATAACTTCTAATCCTCTTTTAAAAAACTAACATAACAAATAAATTTAAAAATCTAATTGAGTCTGTTGTTTTGGCTTTTTTTGCTGTCTGAAAATCAAACGTCCAAGATGGTTCATATCTCTATATTGTTAAAAGCAATCTCAAAACGCGGGTTTTCTGTTATCTTCTTTGACATCAAGAAAATTTCAATAATTCGACAGTCCAAAAGCATGAGAAAAAAAGTATAATCCAAAATTTGTATTTGTAATTTTTTTCTAAAAATTGGAGATCCGAATTTAATCTTTTGCTTATCTATTGTGGTTTTTTAGATATTTTTTTTGCAGCCAGGAAGAATGGCATTTAATTTTTTGGCTCCGATTTATTAAAAAAGTTTTTCCTCTCAGAGGAAAAACTTTTTTAATAAATCCGAAAAAGATCTAAAAAAAATTGGTTTTACTGGTATCAACAACCAAATGCAAGAATTCTGAATTTGACAAAAAAAAATTTTTCTAACAAGTAATTTTTGTTTGTTTTTCTCGGCCTGTTTTTTCAAAATTTTGAGAAATTTTGGCCAAAACAGAGTCTTTGTAGTGCTTTGGGAGAGCTCAGAAAATCATATTGGTCGACCTAAAAAAAAGGTCGACAAAGTACTTTTTAGTGGATAACAAATGAAACTGAAAAAAAAAGTGTTTGAATATAGAATGCACCGAGAAATATTTACCGGCGCAAAAGTGAGTGATGTGTGACTAAAACCATGACAAATAAATGATACCTATCCAAAGCTGACAACTCTTAATTAATTGGCTGGTAATCGTCTGCACATAATGGGTTTCGAGACAGTACGCTTTACATGTACCTGTCTGAAGTAAACTTAAAATTTCTTTATTAACCTTGGAATTAATCTTCATTAATCTCTTTACCTATTTATTTTCTTCCTCTTTTGCAAAGATGGAAATCCGCAACTAGTTGTAAAATTTCTATATGATTAACCGCTGAGTTAATTCTTTTTAGGTGCGGCAAAAAAACATGGCTGAATGTTTTTTTTTAATTTTACTGGCTGAACGGAATTTTTTGAAGTGGTATGTTAGATGTGTGCATTAAGCATGGATACCTGGCCTACGTTTTTATTTTGATCAAATAAAATGGCAGGTGATTTTGATGAGGGATTGTATTTGCCAAAAATGTATCATTTTTTGTTGACAAATATCCGCAGTTACATGTGTTATCCGCTCTGATTTACTTAAATTGTTTGCTTAAAATATTATTTGATCTCCAGCTTAAAGGTGAAAAATTAGCAGTTTTCATTAAAATTTGGAAAAATCCTTGCTCGTTTTTATTCGAGTTTAAGAAGCAATAAAATAATATTATGGTATACATCTCTATATTGTATTTTATTTTTCATCGTAATGATTGTGTAATTAGCCTCGAATAACGCAGCACGTTTAACTGTCTAATATTGCCATTTAGTTATTTTTCAATCTAAAAAGTTTCATCAAGCAGAGAAAAGTACTTTCTTCTACTCTATTTGAAGTTTTTATCGTTTTTTATTGTTTTTGATAAACTAGAGATCAAAACTGAATCTTGATCAGCATCAAGTAGACCGATAATTGTTAAAAACTATTAACTTGGTCTATGTGTACTTGAAAATTTATCGTTTGATATTTTTAAACTCAAGCTTTGAAATCAAGTAATATAAAAAAATTTATTAACTACAGATTTTACCCATTTGAAATTTTTCTCATTTATTGGACTTCAACAAATAGAATTGAAAAAAAATACAATCAACAGATTTTATCAACTTGATCGTAGTTAAGCATTGATTGGACTTGAAAAAGATGCAGCAACATTCCAGTCTTCATGGAAACAGAAAACAACACAACCCAAATGCAATGTACGAAGAGCCACTGTCTGGCAGAGAAGCGTGGTGGAGGTGAGAAAATAACAAGAAAACTTTCTGTCTGACTATTCCTTCAAAAAAATGCCCAAATTCGGAATTTTTTTTTCAAAAATTTGCCTCAAATTTTTTCTTTCAATGTGCCCTCTTATCAAAATTTTTGAAATCTGCCCTCCAAACGATGAAACCCTAGATCCACTCCTGATGTATTGTTAAGAATTTTTTTATCCTTTAGAATTGGACGAGAGCTCAAAAAATTTGTTCAGTCGACCAAGAAAAAGTTATTCAAAGAGTTTGGTTGGCAAATGTTATAAAATCTACCACCTCTTTGCCCCTTAAAAAACTTTTGTAACTCAAAAAATTGGGAAAAGTTTGTACTTCTAAGAAAAATTTAAAAAGCAACTTGGTCACCTGAAACTTATTCACTGATAATAAAATAACGTGATACGTAGATTTTCAAACAATTATTAACGAACTCTCCTTGCCTAGAATGCAAAAATTCAGCATTTCAATATGCAAGCTAATTTGAAAAATCAAAAGAAATTTTTGAGGATTTTTGTGGAGGGAAAGAAGTTCTGAGGGATCGCTGCTACACCCCCCCCCCCCCCCCAAAGGTATATTGTTGAAAAAGTGCCAAAAATGGGTGAACACACTTGGTTTTTGGTACATGAAAATCCACAGTTTTCCTTCATTTCTTATTAACAAAATATTTTAATTTAGCCCTAATAGCATGCAAAATTATTATGGAAAGTGAAAGATTATTGATGGGGGGGAGGGGGCAATGTTACCATTAAATTTTGTTTTGAGGGGGTGAAAAGAGATCGAGAGGGGTTGATGGTGAGGTTATGAGGAAGGGGGTTCGGGACGGGGGGTGGTTCAATGTTGAGAGTGGATGATGGGGTAGGGCTTGAGGGAAGGGGTAGCCATCAGGAATGCTGGTGTTGAGGGTTAGTTAGGGATATGGCCAGGGGAAAGCTGGAAAAGATTTTTTGATTTTATAATCTGTAGATTGTTTGATGTTCTGTAGACAGGAACTGAGGTCGACGCCAGTGCCTGGATCCTATTCGCACAGAGGCATGAGCGAGGAGTTGGAGTCTAGATTATGCAATTACTCCTTCCGCTCCTCCGGCAGATCCAGACCCGCCCACTCTACCCTCCCGCGCACCGGTAAGTGTAGTGAATTGTACATCCAAGGCAAAGCAAAAACAAAAGGTGAATTCTTTATAATGAAAATTACAACCAGAAGGCGGATTTCTTTTTTCTCCAAAACTTTTTTCGAAAAAAATATTCGGAAAACTTATTGATTTATTTAGAGAAATGAATAATACATCCAAAAGCAAAAAAAAAAAACGCCCGAAATCTTTATAATGGTTGTTACAACCAGAAGGCGGATCTCTTTTTTCTTGAAAAAATTTTTTCGAAAAAAATATTTGAAATATTTATTGATTTCTTAACAGAAGTGAATAATACATCGAAGGCAAAACAAAAAAAACATTAAATCCTTATAATGACAATTATAACCAGAAGGCGGATCTCTTTTTTCTCTGAAATTTTTTTTCGAAAAAAATATTCGTAAAACTGATTGATTTATCAAGAGAAATGAATAATACATCCAAACCAAAAAAACGCCTGAAATCTTTATAATGATACTTACAACCAGAAGGCGGATCTCTTTTTCTTGAAGACTTATTTTCGAAAGAAAAAGATTAGGAAATTTTATTTACTTTTTTAACAGAGGTGAATAATACATCCAAGGCAAAGCATAACAAATGCCCAAAGTACTTATACAGATAGTTACAACCAGAAAAAGAATCTCTTTTTTCTCGAAGGTTTTTTCTTCGAAATTTTTTTTTTGAAAAATTATTGATTTATTGAGAGTAGTGAATAATACATCCAAGGCAAACAGGGGGGATTTCGGAGGGGGGGGAAACGCGCCCTCCTCAGGGATTCGACATTCTATTGACACAGAGGATTCCCGTTTTTACTATTTTGATATATAGACTGACAGACCCAAAAAAGTTTTTAAAGGCGCCTTTTACGCACATATATACTAATTTTGAGGGGTGCATTTTTTGGCTTGTTTTGTTAACATTATTTTGCCCGCTGCGCAGAAAATTTGACCGAAACAGGGTCTTTTTAATGCTTTGATAGAGCTCGGAAAATCAATTTGGTCGACCCTAAAGAAAGGTCAACAAAATCGATAATATCCTTAATCCTTGAAGGTAAATAAAAAAAGCCCAAAATCCTTATAATGATCGTCACAACCAGAAGGTGGATCTTTCTTTTCTCAAAGTTTTTTTTTCAGAAAATTTTATTCGCAAAATATAACATTCAGAAAAATTATTGTTTTTTTTTTTGTTTTAGGTCAATCAAATTGATACTGCACGCTCTCCAAAAATAGTATAAAGACCCTATTGTGTCAAATTTTGATCCAAATTTTATGTCTTGATTAACCACTCTTGAATCAATAATTGATGAAATCCAATTTTTCACCGCTACTGTGAAAGCCAGCGCCTGACATCAAGCTGAGGGGACTTCAGGCCGAATTGCAAAATTTGGGATTTGAGGCCAACAAAAAATTGAATGGCCGTAAACAGTGAAAAAGAATACAATCGAAACAAACGAATTGGTGGTTTTTGTTTCGATCATTGAAAATGGGAAGGAATTTTGTGTTCCGGTGTGTTTTAGTTCTTTTTTTTGTTCTCCACACAAAAGGGGGTACCACAAATAATCATCGGCCAGGGTCGAGTGATATATCATACTAAAGCCCTTTTAGTCGTAACTCGAGCGAATTTAAAAATTTCAGAACATTTTTGAGAATAATTTTTTCCCGGTCTCGAGAAAAACCGATTTGCGTTTATATTTTTTTTTGTCTAATTTCGAGCAAACAAATTGAGCGATCAGTCTTACAACTGCTTATTTTGCCTAATTTAAGCCCTGAAAACTAAATTTAAACAAGTAAAAATAATTTTGGGAGTTTTTAGCGCCATTTTAGAACCGAAAAATTTCTACAACTCGAACTTTTGAAGCCAAAAACATTTTGTTGGTCTTGCCTTTTTTCAGCAGAAATTTTGTTCCTGTTTGCTTAAGTTACTATGACTCTCGAATCTGCCTAATTTTTAGTGGTGTCTTACGTCAAATGCTTTCATCACGCTCAAAAAACGAACACCAATTTGAAAAAAAAACTTGTTTGTAGTTTTTTAGAGACCATGACCGGAACATTCTGCACAGAAACCAACTTTCCTTGTTTAAAACTTGCAAGCTGTTAAAAGTCTCTCTATCATTTTCCAGAATTTAAAAAATGTGTTAGTTTGTTTAAATTCCGCAAAGTTTTCAGTTTATAATTTATGAAAGTCAAATCCGATTCAACGAACAAAAAATTCTCTGACTGAATTTAGATGAAAAACAAGACTGCTCGTATAAGGGTAAAACCCGATTGTTCCGACTGCCATTCATAGGAATGTGATCAAACAGTTGAGAAATTGATCCCTCGAGTGAGCTGAATTTTGTAAAAGTTGTCTTGATATTAAAAAATACCCGCAGCTCTTTTGGTGGACCAATTTTTTTAAATTTTTTTTCCCAAAAAGGCAGTTATAGCCTTATTAACATCATCTACACGCACTCGAAGTTCTCAAAAATTGTTTTCGAATAAAAATTTTCAATTATTTGATTTTGCATTATTTGATTTTGACTGTATATTATATTTGTATTTTTTAGGAAAGTTTAGCTTGGAGGCCGGGAGATGTTCGGTGTAATTTTTTTTATTCAATCAGTTTTCGACTTTTCTAACAGTTTTTTCTTACCATATGAAAGAAGTTGTTTTCCTGTGCGCAAACTTTTTTGAAAATAAACGTTTTAACTGTGAGTATTTTTCATAAATATGGAAGTTTAAAAATTGATAATTTGGTTAATTTGGAATAACTCGCGCGCGATATAGTGCGTTTTGTAACATGCGTAAGTGGCAAATTAATTCAACCTCAATTGAATTATGGCAAAACTTTTGGTCGTAATAATAAGTTACAAAATGCCAATTACATTCGTTTCTAGTTTACATTAGCGTTTTGGGAGCTAAAATAGAAAAATTGAAAAAAAAAATTATTTTTGAATTATTTTGTCACATCTTCCATCAAATAATTGTTTAATTTGCATTAAAGTGCAGCCGGAACATCTAGGGCTTCACCTTGATGTACGAATTCTTTTTTAATTACTATTACCTTACGAGACTCAAATAGCATATGACTAGCTAAAATCATGAAATGAAAAGGACCAAAACCGCGTCATTCTTCAGAAAAAAAGCAATGTTTTTTTTTAAATCGGCTTGATAAAATCTCGTGTTCCTTCCTTTACCTTGCCTTGCAGCACTCTGTGGTTCAAATTTAAAAACATGGCTCAGCATTTCAATCATTTTTTTCGAGCAGATGAAACTATTAGCCGAAATGATCAAAATGCACAATTTTTATTTTGTTGCAGCCATTTTACTATTTTTTTGTTTGGGCAAAGTTTCACATGTGACTTGAAAATTAATTGATTACTTGACAGTCTCACATTTTAGTTTGGGCTAGTAGCTCGGTAGTTTGAGCTAATAGTGCTGGATCAAAATGTTTGAAATGTCTGACCGAGTTTTCCGAGAATTTAATTTCAAAAAGTTTGAACAATCAGATTCTACCAGTTCAAGTACTGAAATCAAATTTCAATTCAAGTTATATAAGTATTTATTTTGGGCTGTTTAGTACATAAGACCACTGCTCGTGTATCATAGTAAAGCCCTGAAAGTTCTGACTACCATGTAAATAGTCTCAATTAGTTTTGGTGAAGAAAACTTTGATAGGACCAAGTTAACATCCTCCCCTTAAAGTCGTTTAACTTGGTTCTGTGTTCGAATTTTCAGTCACTCAGAGTATAATATTTTACACGCAGCGCTTAGTAACATCCTCCTTAAATTGAATGCTGGTGTGGTCAATGGGGGGGGGGAGGCTATACATTTTAAATCGTTGTTTGTTTTTCGTTACAATTAAATCATATAGTCTACGAATTTGATTGCTTTGTTTCAATTCTGAATAGTTTTGATAATTCACCTCGCAGAATTTAGCAGAAAATTTTCTCAGTACAAATTAGTTTAAAAAATATATAGCCAAATTGGCTTTTTTTACAAGCCCCACGAATTTTATTAATAAAAAATTGCAGGTTAAATATTTTATTAGTGTTACAAAAAATTGTTAAAACATTTGTCTAAAATTGGTCTGTTGTTTAAAAAATTGTTCTGAAAAAAAATCACTCCAACCATTTTTTTTCTTAGTTCTTTGGATGTCAGAGCAATTATCAGCTAAAAAGTTGCCTTCTTTGTACAGAAGGTGATAAAATTATTTTAGTCAGCTCAAATCATAAAATGATATCTTTTTTTTTAAAGTCGAGTGTGGATGAATTAATTATACTAGCAATTTTTTTGCGCTAACTTTTTTTTCAATTGAGCGCCACAATTGAGCGCCAGTTTATTTTGCAGGGCACTATGGTCGAGTTAATAACTTTGTATTGTGGTGTGATTTGAGGTTCTGAGCTGATGCCAGGCCAGTACAACTTCGAGGACTTCTTCCTGACGATGTTGAAGAAGCCCCAACTGAGCTCAATGCGTGCCCCTCCCCGTCAAAGTCTAGTGGACGAGACCAACAACAATGTCAACATAGCCCCCGGTAAGCTTATATTCATAGCTAAAGCCAAAATGTTTGCAATATCGGTGACCTTGATCTTAAATCTTTTGAAAATTCATCTTTCAAAAAGAGCACTTATTAGTCAATACAAAATTATTGGCATATGACACAGCTTTTAAAATGCTGAAATGATGGAAAATTTGATTCAGACGTCAAAATGAGCAGTTTTATCTAAGTTAACTTCGTTCAGATTTGTTGACCGGAAAATATATTGCCAAAAGTTATGCATTAAATAAGCATCAACGGATGTTTTGACGTTTATTGCCCACGGTGTTAATGATCCATACCCAGTGAAAGCAATGCTTGTTTTATTTTAAACGTTTTCTTTTCGACTATTCGGCAGACTGGATGCTGGACGTTTCCTTTTCACGCAAAATTAGTCATAGTCAAAAAGAAACATCAGGTAACAAGGACGATGACAATCGTTCGTATTCAGACGTGAATTTGAAAATTATGGAAAACAATTTCTGTGACAAAAGAGATCTGAATATTTCTTTAATGCGTTATTAAAAGACTTGAATGACTAGGTGAGAAATTGGTGGTTTGCTTTCTAACTAGCAAAATATTTCATTTTTCCATTGAAACTGTGTGAGGAAGAACGGTTTATACAAAAAAAAAATCCATTTTTTTCTCTTTTTTTCTTCAAAAACTGCTGAAGTCTGTGTTTAATTCGTGCAAACGCTGTGCTCAGGAACTTATTCGACGGAGACGTACAACACTATATCGGCCGAGAAGTTGCCATCCCACCATGTCATGTTCCGATCGGCTGAGCCGAGAGCGTCTCGTGTATTTGACCCGAAGAAGGGACCTCCTCCCGGGGGATACGAACTGCCCAAGTCTCCGCCGAAACATGTCGTCAAGTGAGCGAAATCTAGCGAATCAGAGAAAATGTGCCAAAAAAGCTGTTATTGGAGACTCTTTGGAAAATTAAGAAGGAAAAATTTTTGGCGCACGTTCTTGCTCACAATAAATATTCAAAAATTTAATTCAAAAACGGATTTTGTAAAATATTACCGGTCGACCCTCAGAACTCTCCCCCACGAAATATTTTCCTGCGATTCCTGCTTTCAATTTGATGCATAAAACAATTTTCTACTTGGCTCAGTTACCTTGTTTTTTGCCTTGGATACGGCGGTTTGATCTGAAAGGATCTTAACTTTTGTAGGTCAAGTTTTCTGAGCTCGGTGCCTCGATTCACCCGACGCACTACACTGACCCCGGGTCCAGGGGCATACGGCGGGATGAGTCTCACCCCCTCCTCCAAAGTTCTCAAGAACCAGCTGGGGAAAAACACAGGTCTCTTCTTCACCCCTAGCACTGCCATGGCTTGAACTGCAGTCCGCAACGACACAGAGCAGAAAAAAATCAGTTATGGTTGTTAACGGATAAGTGCACTGCCAATGTACTAAGAACAGTTTAACTCCAATTAAGTTTATGAAATAATTCTAATTTTCAAATTGCTTCAGTAATTAAAAAATCTGCTTTCAGAAGACTGTTTTAATAACATCTGTATATGAAAAAAAGTTTTTCTTCCGACTTTTGACAGAAGTGAGGATTTTTTTTTTTTGCATGGGGGTATTTTTAAAATCATTTGTTTTTCGACTTTTTAACTAAGCGTTTTTGAAAGATTTTTTATACCATCTGAAAATCCGGAGCTCCAATGAAAAATCATTTTTCGTTAAGTTATAGGTTTCTGAAAACTGCTAATTGGACCAGTTTGGGATAATTCTTATATCAGGCGTCAGCCGCGGATTGAATTCTTCCAATTTTTTAGTTGGTTTTAGTATTACAAAACGGCACGCTAAATACATCTTTTTGTGCTTTACAAAGCGTGTGGGGAGTTGGGGGGGGGGGGGGGGGTTTTAGGTAAAATGATTTTCTTGTTCAATTACAACAATACCTTTCGAATGATATAAGAAAACTCAAAAACAGCTAGTTGAAAAGCCGAAATTTGTCTGAAGAAAAAAGCACAAAAATATTCCGTTACTTTCGTTACGAAAGTCCGAAAAACAAAAAAAAATAATCGAAAAGAGGTTTGTGTCTCCTAATCTAATGCAAACGCATTAAACCGGGCCTGAGACATGTGTCGATCATGGTTGATACATGAGTGGACTAGGGTAGATAGGTGATTTGACGACAGTCGATACGCGATTCGAACAAAGTCGATCACGGTCAAAATATGAGTCGAACAGGGTCGACCAAGATGAATAAATAAGTCAGCCTGGTAATTTTTCTGGTTTGTTTTTTGAATTTTTCATCATTTTTTTTAAATCAAACATGAAGCTTCACCCTGATAAGAGGACTCCTGATCGTGCTTGTGACCAGATTTTTAAACTTTCTGTGGTAATTTCTCAAACAAAAAGACAATCACCCGCATCTAAGCCTAGGTGTAATTAATTGCTTAAAACGGATTATCATGTCAATTTTTCGACATTTATAATTGATTTTAATTGCCAAAAGTAGATAATTAAAAGATTTATAGTCAATTATAATTGTGGTTTTTGCCAAGAGGTTAAAATCTCTTAAAAGTGATTATAATTGTAATTATAATTTTTTATACCCACCTCACCCACTTTCAGTAAATATTGGGAGTATACACTAGGCGGCTGGGGTAGTGATAACAGAGAGGGAGTGTAATTGAGTAACACCACACCCTGAAATGAGGAGGGGGAGGGGTGCGAATGGCGGTCCGCGGTAGCAACTTCACTTAACAGGAAAAGAGAACTAGCTAATTTTGAAGAAAAAAATGTAAATTTCTCAAATAAGATCTCAAAAAATCCATTATAAACGCTTATAATGGATTATCTTGACATAAAAAATATAATGTTTATAATCTACTTTTAATGAATTCAAAAAGTCTCGCTAACTATAGATTTTCTAAAAGTCAACTCAAAATCCCCACAATTTAAAGACACATAAGTGCACTTTGCATATCGCTACATATCACTTTTAAAATTTTCTTACTTTTCATGTATAACATTTGTATAGATTTCAAATATTACATTTTTTCTTATTTTTCAATTCTCACTACATGGCAATTTAAAATTTTATTTTCATTTTTACTTTAACTACTTCTTTTTCTTATTATTTAACTTTTTTTTTCCAGAATCGTCATACACCCAACCCGCCCCCTCACGCTCAAGTAGGGTGAGGGAGTGGTTAATGGATGAACGGGGTGGGGAGTAATGGCTCCAATGGTTTGGGGGTGGGTTTGATAAACTGGGGAAGGGGATTGCCGTCGCAATTTTCGCAAAACTTTGCGACCCATATTATGTCCCAAAAGCTTCCAGACTTTCGCAACCAAGAAATTCAGCCGCGACTTTCGCAACCAAGAAATTTAGCCGCGACTTTCGCGACCAAGGTGGAGTCAGCAAGACTCAGAAAACGGCGCGACTGATCTGGCCAGCGCGATCAAACTTTGCCGTTTTCAGAGTTTTTAAAAGCAAGGTTGAGTCGGGGCGAACTTTTTGACCACGGTGGAGACACACGAATGACCGAGAAAAAATTTATTGCAGTTTTTGCGACCGAGGTGGAGACGGCGGGACTTTGGCGACCACGGTGGCGACGTCACTACCCTGAAATTTCGAGTCCAGACTCGAACTCTCGGCGCGACTATTCAATTTGGGTCTGGTGCGATTTACAAAGTCTGGAGGTGTAAGACCTAGAGCCATGGAAGATTCTCCCAGAATAATTGTACTATCAATTTTTTATTTCCATTTAGAATTGCAGCAATTTACAAACCGGCTTTTTATGAAAAAAAACACCCTAATTCAAGTTCATCCTAATTTCGTGGGCGGAGTAAAAAAAAAATTACATTTTTTTTGAAAAGTCTGCTATTTTTTGAACGAATTAATTGATTTTTTGGTCTGAACTTTTACTCTTTTCGTACTGAAGATTAACTCCCAGCTAAATTATACGGAAACATTCTTTGCTGGGAACTTTCTTTGCCGCTTGTATAGCTTCAGGGCCCATCTTCACATCTTTTTAAACTTACAATTTTTGTGTTCACCTTCAGCCGAAAAGTTCTTATTAAAAACTAGGCTGATCGCCAGCTCAGATGTTTAACTTTTTTTATTACTTTGACAACAGTTGTTTATATAGCTCCTCCTTGAGAAATCAGTTTAAGCAAATGGTATTCTACATAGAAAAAACTCAACCAATAATGTGAAAGCGGAGACTAAATATTTCAAAGAAATACAGATAAATTAGACTTCGTTTATTTTTCGGGTTTATCGTCAAATTATTAGTAAGTTTGATTTATGTCACCATGTTTCCTTATCTGGCTGTGTTATTGCATGTATGGATTTTTCTGAGTTTCTTATCAAAATTTTGAATAGTTAATTGCCAAAGTAGTCCGTTGCGTAATTATAAAGTCTGTGCCCAAACGCGGGTCTATGTTTTTGACTTTAAAAGAAGTTTTATGATTCAAAACAATTGCACAAACTATGTCTCGATATCATGGCGAACATAGCATACAAAGCGCCGTATTTTTCCGAAAAAATCTCAGCAAACTGCTAGGAGGTTTTTAATAAAATGGTCATAAAAAATGCCAATTAGTAATTTTGACTTTTTTTGAATCACAAATGCATAAGTTCGAAAAAAATTCAGTGCCTATTGAGAGCGCTCTCTCAATGAGTCGGTAGGTTTAGGGGTTTGATTCTCTGGGCCAGTTCACACAATATAACTTAAGCGCAAAGTGGTCCCTTTGGTAATAAAATCAACGGGGCGACCGAGATTCACTACTATCCACAATCCGGAAAGAGTTAAATTGATGGCAACTAACCCGTAATGTATTCTGTTACTTGCCCCCTTAGTGTACTGCACTTGAGGCTCTCTCGTCCGTTCTCGCGATTGCAAGAATTTCCAGTTGTAATTAAATTCAGATAAATTTTGGACCAATTACAGAGGGCTCCAAGTGCCAGATTGTAATCTAATAATCTAATCAAAAATAAAGGGTTCATGATCAATCAAACCAATTGCCTAATAGCAATCCAAATCCCAACTAACTTAACTAAAATTTATCTCTTTCTCTGAAGAATCCTAATTAACGAATTACACACAGTAATTCCACTCAATTACTCAGCGCAACCTGCTAAAGTTAATAGTGTCACTACGGATCACTATTCCTTGGAGATACTTTAACTGATCCCCTTAACTACCTATTTTCTTGTTCTCTAACTGTGAGAACCAAGTAATCAATAACTTCGCAAAAATTTTTCTCTAAATAATAACGAGAGCCCAACAACTCTCACTAATAACCAGTTTTTTGTTCTCCACTCTGAGAACCAACTTCTCTTATTAATAGCTCAAATAGTTCTGCCTGAAAGTAAGCTGTTTATTTTTCTCTATAATATTTGTCTATTTGAGTTTTGGTTATAGTTAGAGTTATGCCGTCCCTGCAAGTCCTTAAGTTTACTTTAGTGACCCTTTCGCCAGGTCTTCACCGGATTCTTCCTCTGTCGACACTAGTCCTATACTGCAACTTCATTGTTGGTATCTCTAACTAATTTGGGCAAATATCAAGACCAATTTTATCTGCAAGCCGAGTTATGTCTAATTAACAAGTATCCCACGGTTTTTTTTGAATTATCCCATTAACGTTCCGACCTTCCGGGAGTTAGGGATAGCCTTTTCTATGGATCGCTAATTCATTCCAAGCATATAGATTTCCAGTCTAAACTGTATTCAAATCCCGACCTTCCAGTTATCAGGGGAACGTAACATGCTTAATAGAGGTCAAATTGGGCTAAAAAGCCACCTCCGGGGAGTTAAGTAAATTCTCCGTCCATTTATACTTTTTTATGAGAACTAATTCTCATGCCGTGGCCCTATTACTATAACTTTCCTCTGGGTCTCATTTTTTCAAAGTCTAGAAGAATTGCTGTTAATAGATAATTCGCCAATCTAAGCTGAACCCATAATTTACCAAGTCCACTTTGAATTAACTCTACTACTCCAAGTTTCAATGTAAAACTATATTTCTATCCACTTCTGCTTCAGATCCCAATCTACAAGTTTCGTCCCATTTGATAATTAGTAAAGTAATCAATTCTTTTTGCAGAGGGCTGGGGCTGGGGAATACGCCACTTTCAGGTGTTAATCTTGGGGTTTTCTATGCAATTTTGGCGTCAAAACGCCCAAAGGTCAGCTTAAAGTTATCCAGGAGTCACCTGAGGTCAAAATTCTATATTCAGGTTCAGAATCCCATAGTGGTCCTACCTACCAAGTTTCATCCATATCCCTTAATACTTCCCATTCAGTTATCCCATTTCTAGTTTCCATATCACTTTTCATATCATAGAGGGGTTTCACTCACAAAAGGTCTTTTATCGGGGTTTGTCTCTAATGTCTTTAACCGCAAGAAAGTCAATATTGCCCCGCTCATTAATTTGCGTAAATTGCTTATTTCCGGTCTGAGTTGTGTTTTTCTTGGCTGCTAATAACTTCCGGTTCAACCACTGGATTTAGCTAAAATTGTAACACATGACGTACCCATGATATTCCAAAGTCTTAGCTCCCTGCGTTCAGTGGAGGCCGAGAAACGGCTTCCTGAAGTCGAGGTGGGGACTATTTGCATAGGGCATAGAACCGAAAGTAGGTGTCCAGGGGGTCTGGGGTTCTAAACTTAAGTACCCTGGACTAGGTCTAAAACATGCTATATTTTGGTTTCATTCCATCCGCTGGTTACCGAGTTCTAATAGGGCTAATTGCACTTCCTGGAACTGTTACCCTTGGGACCGGGTGGTCCAAGGGGTCTAGAGTTTTGCATGCCCGGTTCAAATCATCTCTAGTATCCGTCCTAGGAGTTTCATAAAGGTAACCCCGGTAGTTTCTATTTGGGAATAGAGGATTATCACATTTGGCACCTTTTTGAAAATTTTCCACAGAGGAGGGACTGATTCTTCCGAGACTCGAACTCTTTCGAGATTGGTCATTTATGGTCCAGTTTGCATCGATTTTGCAACTTAACAAATTGTTCGCTTCATTACTCGACTTGTTGATTCGTCATTTTCAAGCTACGTACTACTCATTCACTTTCACTATACTGCAAGCATTTCTCGAGTTAAAACGCTCAATCGAATTCTAAGTTTGGCGAAAAAAGGTGTTAGGACCACCGAACTTCTTGAAAGCACCATTTCCTTTCAGGAAAATTTTCAGGGGTGATCGGCCAAATTTATAGATAAGAAACTTTACCAATTAAAAAAACACTTTAAAACGGTGAAAAATGAGACTATGACCGCTTTTGTGCACAAAAAAAACAGAAGTTTCGCTCTACCTTTTGCAGTTTCTTTCAAAACCAGTTAAATTTTGCGACAAAGTTTGCTTTGTTTGTGACAAGATCTAGAAATTTCGAGTCTTATAAAATGCCCCAAATATGCCATGATGAGCAAAGTATTAATGAGCCTTCATAACATTTCAGTTCCCAGTGCCAGTTATTTTCTTTCACATCTGAGTTCTTTTATTTGAAGATGTAAATAGAAAAAGACTTGATTTGAAATGATAAAAACAGATCAAGTCTTCATTAATATCAATCCAAATTTACTTTTTATAGAAAAAGTTAGATACAAGTTTTGATTTCTTATAATATTTTAAAATTTTTTCAAACTCCTCTTAATATATTAACACGTTCTTGTGATAATATAAAAATCGTATTTCATTTTAGCGCCTGTAATGGGACAATTATTGCAAAGGTTTCTGCTGTTTTTGGTAGTTTCAAATCTTTGTCACTGCATTGGCGTGAGAAGAAGGGGAAATGGTCTTTCAAACGTTGAGATATCCACTGAAATAATAGCCTCTGTTCGCTTCGGCCAGACTAAACTGGCGGTGTGGCAGGACGCTGTGAAACCAGAGAAGTTCTATGTCCTCCCATTGGGTCATTTGAAGCCAGAGACAGCCGAGGCTTCATATAATATGCTTACCAAGATCTGGTCTCTCATTTTTAGCGTGCAATTGTGGTCAGAGGAAGCTCAAAAAGTCGTGTTTGAGCGCCTGAAAAAAGATGGAAAATCGGTTAAAAAAGACAACATCCAGATGATGCCTATCGATTCAATTCGTCTTATTGACTCGTGGGATGAAATCGTCGAAGAGTTCAGTATTTCATCTAGCTGGAAAACGAACAGCAACCAGCCGGACGAGATGGACTTCCAAATGGATTGTGCGGACGAAGCCTCGTGCCAGGAGCTGCAACAGTCGATGAAACATCACCCGGAATTGTTCCAGAATATGGAGCTTCAGTTCAGAATGCTGACGCAGAATACAGCCGGAAGAAAAATGGTGGTCACTGGCTCTGACATACAGAGTGGTGAATTGTTCACCAAACTGAAAAACATGCCAGGCGCCGAAGGAGATGAAAGGTAAGCGAGGCTCTCAGGAACCACCGTCGTTATCGCTTTCTTCAGCAGCTTGTTAATCCAACCACGTCACGAAAATTTCACCGATTTGAAGAACCTCGAACAAAGATTGTAGGAGGTCATTTAAGGTGTCACATTAAGCCTTATTGGCTGCGATGTCAATTCAAACGAAGTCTTGAAACAAGAGACCAAATAATTGATTGAATAGTTCACCAACCTGTGGTTAAAAAACTCCTGAACTTCAAATCATAACGCATCCCAACCCGATACTTAAATTTCTGAATTTTGAAAAATTTCTGTAGCTTTTTTTGGGTAAAAGCATGTGATCACAGCTGGCAATCCTTTTGAATTCTTTGAAAGTTGCTCAAATTAAGGTTATCAGACTAAGGTATTTACATTCCAGACGGACATTGTCGTGTTTTAAACTAACTTTCCAATTGGCTAGTTGCCGTTCTTCTGATAAATTGTGTGTTGCCTACTTTTGCGAGTTGTTTTTGTCTGCGCGTCCTTTTATTTGTTGTTCCGACTTTCGATACGAAAGTAACGGAATATTTGTGCTCAGGGTGGGTTTTTTTTTCTTCAGACAAATTTCGACTTGTTAACTAGCCATTTTTGACGGAATTTTTTATGTCATTCAAAAGGTATTTTTGTCCTGAGCTTAAATTTGAAAAGATATTTCACCTGTGATCAATTTTCGTTAAGTTATGAGGGTTCAAAATTGCCATTTTGACCAATTTGGGACAATTAACGCGCGATATAATTCGCGCTATTAACGCGTAAGCGGAGATTTAATCCGTCTTATAAATAGTTCCAAATTGGTTGAACGAAGCTTATTTGCCATAATTGATTTGTTACAATTGTTACAAGGAACGAAATTTATCTTCTTATACTTTATATGGCGTGTGGGGGGATGATTTTCATTAAAATTTTCAAATTTTAGAAAAAAAAATTCATTTATTTTATTTCATTTAATTTTTTCATGCTATTACTGCTGCTCCATAAACCTTAAGAGGCAGTCGGAACATTCAGGGCTTCGCACTGATACGAGCAGTCTTGTTGTTCCGACTTTCGGTACGAAAGTAACGGAATATTTGTGCTCGGGGTGGTTTTTTTTTCTTCAGACAAATTTCGACTTTTTAACTAGCCATTTTTGACGGAATTTTTTAATATCGTTCGAAAGCCATGGTTGTACTGAGCTTAAATTTGAAAAGATATTTCACCTGTGATCATTTTTCGTAAATTTATGATGGTTTAAAGGTTGCCATTTTGGCCAATTTGACCAATTTGCGACAATTAACGCGCGATACAATTCGCGCTATTAACGCGTAAGCGGAGATTTAATCCGTCTTATAAATCGTTCCAAATTGGTTGAACGAAGCTTATTTGCCATAATTGATTTGTTACAAGGAACGAAATTCTATCTTTTTGTAATTTATATGGCGTGTGGGGGATTGATTTTCATTTAAAAAAATTCAAATTTTAGAGAAAAAAAATTTTCATTTTATTTTATTTCATTTAATTTTTTGGGTTATTACTGCTGCTCCATAAACCTTAAAAGGCAGTCGGAACATTCAGGGCTTCGCCCTGATACGAGCAGTCTTGTTCACTTTTTGAAATCTAAATTTTGCACTCCCGAAAACTTCTGAAAATTCAATAACACTATTCTTCTTTTGATCGTAAGCGCAGTCTTGTAATGATTGATAAAGGAACAGCTGCTTCCATCCAATGCCTTTGCTTTATCATATGTGCTAATTTCTCCTATGTTATTCAGTTAAAGTTTTCCAACCATGTAAAAAACTAATTTGTTAGCTAACTTAGTGAAAAACTTTACTCTCATTTTGCTATAACGGATAATTATCAAACAAAGCCTTTATTTGGATCTTTCCCATCATTGGGTTTCTAAACACTGGGAAAAACTCCTTTTTTCTTATGATGCCTTCAGGTTTTTGTCATCGGAGGACATGAAACAGCTGACAGCTGAGTCGGTGAGTGTTGCAAGTGCCTCTGTGAGAGTGGACGCCAACTACCAGTATAGTGAAGGTGACACCGTCCAACTGACTGAGAGTTTGGAAAAGGTACTGACAAAAAATAAAGTGAAGAGTGACCAGTTCGAGTCCATCAAGTGGGATTCTGTGTTCTGGAATGACGATTGGTCCCGACCAGATAAGATCACACAGGAGTTGAACACAATCTACTCATTGGACAAGGACCACAAAGACCACCTGAAGGTTGACGAAGACGCCTACTCAGCGTACGTTAAAACAAGTGCGGGAGGCTCTTTTGCCGGGTTTTCGGCAAGTATGGAGGCCGAAACAGGAGCATCCTACGAGACAAAAACTACAGTACAGGATGTAGTGGACACTCTTGAGGAAAACAAGCTTAACTCGGAATGGGACGGGGAGAAGTTTGTGGAGAAGCCTCTCGACTTGTACCGAATGAACCTCAACGATTACAAGACCACTTCGACCATAGAAGCACTCGATGTTCAAGTTCAAGAAATTGTGGGGGAGTATACGATTCCTCTCACGGTTCCAAAGAAGGACGACAACAGAGAGTCAGCTCTCACTTTGTTCATGGTGAGACAGCGAGTAGAGGTGGCTCTTGAAAACTTGAAGAAAGAAGTCTCTAAAAACAACACAGTGTTGTCTGATTTGGAAGTAAAAAGGGCAAACGAAGTTAAAGACAGCGTAAAAACTCTTATCGAGAACCCGACTTGGCCTACTGGTGCATACTGCATATTTCAAAGTCCAAAAAAAGTCTCCCTTACCACTGGCTATAATGCGTCTGAGTCATGTCCTGATGGATTCGATCGCGAAGTCGGAGGTTTCCACGTGAAAGGATCCCCGAAAGCCGACGATGACGATTACAACCACATAGACTTTCTCACAGGTGGATCCAAATCAACTAAGATGTCAATTCGAACATGCTGCAAGTGGATGAAATCAGAGTGATGAATCAATTAATGTTCAGAAAGAAGCTGGAAAATTGCCTAAATAATTGAAATTTCAAACTTCGTGAGAAGAAACTAAAGCAAGCGAATCAAAGATATATATGTACTATAATATCATATAACAAATGAATTGCAACTACTGTTAAAACTTTTTTCACAAATACTACCTTTAAACTTTATCGAGCGAATCTCTCGCAAAGCATTGAAATATTCATAAAATATCGAAAAATTATCTTAAAAAATCATCACAACTAAGAGACCCAAAACATTCGCCACCCAAAACCTTAAGATGGGAGTGATTATAGCACAAAAAAAGTCTGAATTGAGCACTAATTCTTTGAAGAAATGCTATATGCAGAAGTTCTGTATCTTTTGAAGACAATCGATATTGAGATATTGAGATGTTTCACAGTAAAACTTTCACAACAAGAGCTCAGAAGCAGACATCTCGATGATTATTCAAAACCTTAAGAACACAAACCAACCGAGTTTAAAACTGGGTGCGAAAATTTTTTATTTCAAACATTTCAGCTAGTATAAAACCAATAGCATCTAAAGAGAAAAAAATTACTCGACAATTGAACAAAGTGTTTTCAACTGAGAAAATGACAAAGTTAACGTGTTTTGGAATTGAGACTAAATCAATAAATATATCTCAAATTGAAGTAATCAACTGGGAAAAATTGTTCCGACTTTCCTAACGAATATTATTAACTAGCCATTTTTGACGCAATTGCTCTAATATCATTCAAAAGTTTTCGTTTTCTTGAGCTTAAATTTGAAAAAATATTTCACCTAAGATCGTTTTTCGTAAAATTCTGGGGATTAAAAATTATGGAAATGCAACTTCCACAAATAGTTTTCGCAAAATTACAAAGTTTTCATGGTTTAAATTTGGAACTGCGTCTACGATTATATTTCGAATTGAAGTAATCTACGAGCAAAATATTAAGCCTTGTTGAAGCGCAAGCGACGAATCACAAAACTCCAAGTTGGACTGATTCAAACAATGGTTTTTTCATTAATACGCGCACTGAAAAAAAATACCAACAAAAAAACTGAATAAATGTTTTTTCTTTTATTTTCTGAATTTTTTTTTCATTGTTTTATGCAGGGTGACTCAAATAAGGGGAAAAAATGTAGTTTAAAAGTTAAAATTTATCTTAAAACATAATTGAAATTGTTGCTGAACTGAATTGCGATGACAACCAATCTCGACTAAATTTTGCCTAAATTTTCTGAAAACCGAAACTAATCATTTCGTTTTTTAAATAATTTAAATAACGACAAAAATGGCTTTAAAATAATAACGAACTTGATCTTCTTCTAAAGCCAAATCTAAAATTTTTTTTCTCTCCTCGGTGGGTCGGAACAACTAATTGGTTTTTAAAAACTTCCGCTTTGTGTCCTTTATATTGCAAAATAAACAAGGCTCTAAAAATCAATTATTAAAATTAAATCTAATCTGTTTCTGTAACGTTACCATACGCAATTATCATACGCAATTATCTTGCAACAAAGATTGATTTCTACAAAAAAAAACGAATTAGACGTCGATCCAAAAAAAACAATTATGGGAAACTAGACTTAATTGTATTTGAATGTGTCTGAATTTTGCTTACTGATTACAATTAACTTAGGCTGAGATTTTTTATTCAAATTTGTTTTTTACATGTCTAATGAATTTTTTAAAATATTATTAAGTTAGCCCTGTGTTTTCTGTCCAAAATGCTAGTTTTTTTTTAAAAAATAATGTCTAAAGTACGCTTTTTAGGGGACGTTCAATTAGCTTTCCCTCTATTATTCTGTCACCCCATACACCCATCTACAAAATCCGTTCTCCAGCAAGCTTACAATTTTTCAAGTAATATTGCTTATTATTAATTTCTGAGTGATAATTTTTTAATGATATTAATATGAAACTGCTTCAAACTTAATTGAAATAAATTTTTCATTTAATTGTTTAGTTCAACTTTTAACGTTGTCTGTGCCTGCTAGTTTAAATTTTCTGTGTCTGAAAAAAACAGCAAACAAGATGTACAAAGGTTTTTACCTAATTTTATTTGCAGCTGTAATTGTTCCGACTTTCGATACGAAAGTAACGGAATATTTGTGCTCGGGGTGGTTTTTTTTTCTTCAGACAAATTTCGACCTTTTAACTATCCATTTTGACAAATTTTTTTATATCATTCAAAAGATATTGTTGTCCTGAGCTTAAATTTGAAAAGATATTTCACCTGTGATCATTTTTCGTAAAGTTATGAGGGTTTAAAGATTGCCATTTTGACCAATTTGGGACAATTAACGCGCGATATAATTCGCGCTATTAACGCGTAAGCGGAGATTTAATCCGTCTGATAAATCGTTCCAAATTGGTTGAACGAAGCTTATTTGCCATAATTGATTTGTTACAAGGAACGAAATCTATCTTTTTTACTTTATATGGCGTGTGGGGGGATGATTTTCATTTAAAAAATTCAAATTTTAGAAAAAAAATTTTCATTTTTTTTTCATTTAATTTTTTTATGTTGTTACTGCTGCTCGATAAACCCAAAAAGACAGTCGGAACATTCAAGGCTTCGAGTTTTAATTTTGATGTTCGATTTTTGCATTGAACATTTAAATTCTTTTTTAATTTTGCGTTTTTGGAATTGTTAGTAAGTGTTGCAATAAGTTGCTTTTGAAGGGTATTTCTTTCAATTGATCTGTTATTTTTTGCTGTTATCTTTCGATAAAATTAGAAAAAGATAGCCATTTAAGATCAATTTCTTTTTATAGGTTCGGTAAAAAATTTTGCTTGTGATCTTTTTTGTATACTTTCAATATCCGTTTACTCATTTCAAATCGAACTTCAATTGGTTTCTTTTTTTGCATGGTACTTTCAGGCATGTTGAGTTTAGTTTTGCTACTGCTATTATGCAAAACGACTGCCTCAATTGTTGATTTTTTAAATTTTTCTCGAGTAACCCAAGAAGACAAAAAAGTTAGCGTAAATGACCGGATACCAATGCGACACTTCACTTGGCAATTTTTGTACTAGTCTGGGTTCCACGGGATCTCTTTACTGTAAAACTTGCAGCGAATTCTACAAACGGTCGTCTAATTTGAATTGAAGCGTAAATTCTGTTCAACAAAACACCATATCTTGAAGCCGAAATTACATCAGATTTACGTAAACTAGATAAGAATTACGTAACAATTGCATAACAACAGTGGGAGTCTGTTGTTATGTAGCATAATAATAGTATTTTTCGGATTGTTGGCACTTCGGCTTGTTGGCCTACCACCGCTGAAACAATAGGCGACTTTTAGCTAGCGAGCGAATAGCTGGAATCCAGCGAAATTGTGGAATTCAGAGACGAACACGATTTTTCATCTGTAGAGGATTCTATTAAAAGCCGCTGGATTCTAGCAATTGTCAGCAGATTTCAAAGTCATTACTCTGTTTTTGTCGCTAAGTTCTAGACCATGTCAGTAGATTCCAGCAACAAAAACTACTAACTCATGTAAAATATATGTCAATGAAATCCAAACGCAAGCGAGGAGAACTTTGTACCCTGACATAAAAGCGAGTTTTGGGCCGTTGTGAAAGATGTTTCTACAAGTATATTAAAATAGTTAGCACATGGCCGCTTAAGTTCTCATTAAGACAAACCATTCAAAGTAGTCGAGAACAAAACATTGATCAAGTTTCTGTCAGAAAGCAGTTTTTTGCATAGTTTTTTGATAAATCAGTCCCATTTGTACTAAAATAATAAATCAATCGCGTTAGTACCAAAAATACTGAATCGGCCAAAGACTACTAAGCCGACTATTGGTTTATGGTCGCCGGTGGTCGCGCTACGCGAGCGTCGCCGCTTTGCGGCGATAACCGGCTCTAATTTTCGTATAGAGTACCCTCTGTTGGCAAGCTCGCAAAATGTTGGCGCGACTGCGGCGGTCACTATTCTGCTGCTTAGTTTTCTTCTGTTTGAAGAGTAGAAAATTAATGTAATTATTCGTTGGCTCACAAGTTGGCCAATCAGAAAACGAGTTGAATAATTTTGGTACAAATGGGACCGATGTTTCATTTTGGTACAAATGAACGTCGGTACAAATGGGACTTCACCCATTTTGACTCTACGTTAGTTAGTTTCAATTTGTGATCCCGCAAAAAATAGCCAGCAGACAGTGTTTAGAGAAAGTGTTAATAGGTTTTACTTTTTTTTTACTATTCTAGCCGTAAAGAATGGAAAATATATCACCTCACCCGTTACGCTTTTTTGAATTCAGCGGATTTTCATGATGAACGTTTTTTGATTGAATTGAGACAATTTAAGAAACTTGGATCCATGGGTAAGTGTTTTTTTCACTGGGAGTTCCTGTCTAGCAAACTCTGTTGTATTGAACTTAAAAATAAATCAATGAAGAATCAACACAAAAAAATTTGAGCATGAACAATATTTAGATAGTTTTATCCGACCGGTTCGAATTACAGACCATAGCCGATGGCCAACGAGAAAACCGATCCACCGCCACCAAAACATACTTTTTAGACTCCTTCAAGTAATTAATGGGCCCCCAAAAATCCAGTTGGACCGAATCATTCGGCTCTTTCGGCTCAGGTATTTTCCCAATACCATTTTTCGAACACATACTTTTCAAGTTCTTACCAGCTAATGTGCATTCCTGGCAATTCCCGGCGATAGTCGCTAAGCTACGGAACATGCACGGGTACCAGATGTCTTTGGCCGCGTCGTACATACTCGATTTCCCGTGGTGATAGTAATGCAACCGATTGTTCACCGCCGCTTGCAGGCTGTTAGGGATCACTAGCCTCTCGTCCATCCATAGGCATCCGTCTCTTACATGAAAGTCCTGAGTATACTCTGCATAGTACTTACTCATCGTTGCAATTTTTGAGTGTAACTGAGGGTCTTTACATTGTATCAGTTCAATAATGGCTTGTAATTGTGGATCGGAACTATATTGTGATTCTATAAATCGAAGATTGAACAATTC